TCCACAGTTTATCGTGATCCACACAGTCAAAGGCTTTGGCATAGTCAATAAAGCAGAAATAGATGTTTTTCTGGAACTCTCTTGCTTTTTCCATGATCCCTTAGGGGCACACAAATGTTCAGTCTCTAGCACATACCCAAGTGCTTGTGAAGCCACTTCAGATGTTCTGTGTCTCACAGATTTATCCTAGAAGTCCCTTGCCCTGGCACCAAGTTGACATGGTACCAACAAAATGACCTAGGCCCAGATTCCTTCCTCTGGTGACACTTTCAGCGTGTAGTCAGCCCCTCCAAAGCCCTTCCTCCCAGTTCTGTCACATGCTCTGCTTTCTCCTTTTCCTGGGGTGCAGGTCTCTGCAGAAGAGATGGTTAGATGGTTCCCATCCCTGGGGACGGAGGCAGTGAGGAGGAAGGAAACTCCTCCTGACCAGCGTATCCTCAGAGGCCAGCCACAGTCACACTCAGTCTTCTCCCGCATAGCGGAGGTGCAACGCAGTGGGGAGCAGTGCATGTTAGGACTTATCTTCCTGTTATCAGTAAGCTCTGAGGGTTTTTGGCTGACCCCTAACAGCTGGTGGTGCTTTGAACTCAGAAATGTGGGATGTTGTTACACCTTTGATGCTTAGCTTTAAGCCTCGACCTCCATTCCTGAACCACAGAAAAACATCACTCAACATTTTATAAGGACATGCACTGAACTCGTATCATCACCCATCAGTTATTGATAACATGACTTTATCTTGGGCCTTGTGCTAAGAACTAGGGTGAACACAAAGGATTTAATTATATTTTCCTACAGACAAAGGGACTGCAGTTTGATAGGAGAGACTGAGTACATACATTAACAGAACCATGCAGAAAACTAACACAAATATCAAAAGCAACAATAGTAGCATGTGCTTTATATCATGTCCCTTTTTGCAGAAAAAGGAACAAAGGCACACTTTTTTGAGTGGAATGAACCTAGATGTCTTCACTCCCAGCTTTGTCCATGGTTTAAAATTACTTTTTGTTTTGGCATAACTTTCAGAAAAGTTACAGGGATAGTACAGAGAGTTACCGTACCTTTCACACAGCTTCCCCTGATGCTAAATATGCAACCTTGGTATCTTTGTCAAAACTAAGAAATTAACATTGATACAATGCTATTAACTACAATATGAACTTTCTTCTCTTTTTATTTTTTTTAACCTTTTCCCCCACTAATTTCCTTTTCATGTACTACAATCCAATGCAAGGTATCATGTGCTTAGTCATCACATCTTCTCGGTCTCTGCCAGCATGCCAGTTTCTCCATCCTTCCCTTGTCTGTCATGACTGTAACACTTTAAAGAGTTCTGGTCAGGTATTTGTTGAATGTCATTCAATCTGAGTTTTCTGATGCTTCTCATGATAAGACTGGGGTTGTGGCTTACAGGGAAGAATACCACAGGGGTGAAGCGCCCTTGTGCTTGTTCACAGAGCAGCGTAACATCTATGTGTGTATTTATGCTGTGCTGGGTCTTCACTGCTGCGGGTGGGCTTTCTCCAGGGTGGCGGTGAGGGCTGCTCTCCAGTTGTAGTGCTCAGGTCTCTCACTGCGGGGGCTTCTCTTGTTGCAGAGCCCAGGCTGCAGGCACGAGGGCGTCAGGAGCTCCGGCATACGGCTCGGTAGTTATGGCTCACAGGCTTGGATGCCTCTTGGCATGTGGACTCTTCCTGGACCAGGGGTCGAACTCTTGTCCCCTGCATTGGCAGGCAGATACTTAACCACTGGACCATCAGGGAAGTCCACAACATAGCTTAACAATGGTGAGTTGACCTTGATCACATGGTTAAGGTAGTGTCTATCAAGTTTAGAAACCAAGGTCTGAGAGCTGAGTGCATTCATTCCTACTGGAGCATCACTGATTCTAGACCTTCCAATGAACAGAGAAAATATACATGTATAATAGCCTACACATATACAAGTTTCTCCACTGTAGATTTACTATTTTCTCTTTTCCATATTCTTTTCCTTAGAAAAGAGTCACTAAATCCAGCCCACACCAAAGGTGAAGGGAATTAAGTGCCAAGGGAAGTATCAAATAATTTGTGGATAAAGATTAAAACCATCACAGTAGTGAATAAATATTTGAAGGGAGATTCTTTGAAGTTATGAAATTATCTTATTTTTCCATACGGTGCCACCTGCTAATTTTACCATTCATCAGGACTTGCCCAAAGCAGAATTATAGTAGGGATTCGTGGATATTTATTTTATTCTTTCAGTTATAAATCTACATTATAAATATTTATTTTTATTGCTTAAATTGTTCTAGTTACCTTTGGGAGTGCTTTCAGTTGACTCCTTTTGACATGCTCTCATCTTGTCTTCTTTCTTCCCCTGACCTCTTGTTTCTTTCTTTTCTTTCCTTTTCTCCATAGTGGTCAAACTCATCTTGTGTTTTCCCTGCCTCAGCTCTAAAACCAGCTATTTCTCCAAGGAGGTCTGGTTCCTTTTACTGGACAATGATATTTAGAAACCAAGATCTGGGAGCTAAGTGCATTCATTGCAATTGGAGAATCATTGCTTCTAGACCCTCTAGTGGGCAGAATTAGGAAACACATGCATATATACTAGCCTATGTATTTGTGTGTGTGAGTGTGTCGTGTGCTCAGTTATGTCTGACTCTTTGTGACCCCATGGACTGTAGCCCGCCAGGCTCCACTGTCTGTGGAATTTCCCAGGCAAGAATACCTAGTGGGTTTCCATTTTCTTCTCTACAGGACCGTCCCAACCCAGGGACTGTACCTTCGTCTCCTCTGTTGGCCGGCAGATTTTTTTACTACTGTGCCATCTGGGAAGCCTACGTGTACACTCATCTGTATTTCCTTTTCTACTTGCTTATTTATTACCTCTTTCTCTGAGAGTAAGAAACCTGCCTCTCCTTACCCGTATCATATTTACTTATTTGTTCAACTTGAGGATATACTTAGCTTCAAAATTGCTAAACTATATTCCCATGAGACACAAATTTATCAATTACACTGCAGTGTTTGTGTTCAACTCTTTGTGTCTTTATCTTACATTTTCAAGCAAAATATTGTTTTCCAAAGTTACTTAAGCCAGCTCAATTTCCCCCCACTCCCTTCAGTGAGATTATGCCATACATTTGTAAAAACCAATTCAATTTTTACAAAACTTTTACAAAAAATTTCAATTTTTACAATCTGCATTATATTGTGGGCCCCCCAACAGCCTGGTGAATTTTTAAAATTTGCATAGAATAAAGTCATTCTTTATTCATACGGGCTATTTTTTTGTGTGTTTTGACAAATGCATACAGTCAGGTATCAATCACCTTATAGAAACATTATCCTAAAAATTTCCTTGTACAGCTCCTTTGTTCCTGCTTCCAAACCTCTCAACCACTGATCTGTTTTCTGCCTCTACAGTTTTGCTTTTTTCAGAAAAGTCATTTAAGTAGAACCATACAATGTGTAGATTTTTAGGTATAGCTTCTTTCACTTATCAAAATGTCTTTAATATTTGTCCATGTTGTTGCATAAACCTATATCCTTCACTCATTTTTACCGGTGAGTGTGGATAAATTCATTGTGTGGATATAGGACAGCTTGTTTATCCATTCACCTGTTGAAAGACTTATATATTTCTAAGTTTTCACAATTATGAATAAAGCTGCTATAAACAGTAATGTATAAGTTTTTTTTTCTCTTGTGAACACAAACTTTACACTTGGATAAATACCTAATAGTGGAATGACTGGGTTGTATAATAAGTGTATGTTTATGAGAAACTGATGAACAATTTTCCAGAGTGAAGGTTATGGCTTGCAATCCCCTCAGCAATGATGAGCATTATTATTCTGTGTTTTCTCCAGCGTTTGGAGGTCCACACTCATTCTAGGGTGGAAACTCCCCCTCCCCACCCCACTCCAGCTTCTTCATTCCTTTTGGCCTCTGTCTGGATTACCAAACAATCTGTATTCTTTCTTTGCAGCCTGCTGGTATTAGCAAAGGTAATGATTTTAGGCTCCATCATGTTTCCACTGTGCACTAAAGGACTCTTCCATTTTTAGCCTCCTAACAATTCTGTAAGGTAGTTTCAGCAAACATTCTTAAGTTGATATGAGAAGTAACAGAAACTTGCTGAGAAGAATTACTTTCTGGCTTTCTCGAAACTCTGCTTTTGAGAGGCCCTTAGCTCCCTACTCATTTCATCTCCTTAGCCTAACCAAATGAAACCACTGAAATACAGGGTCATCAAGGGTGAATCTGGCAGCAGCGACCACTTATGTGGCTTGCCGGCTGGGTGGCTGGGTCTTAGTTTGTCAGGAAAGAGCCGTGGGTCAGGCCGCTGCTCAGCCCCTGGTCCTTGCCTCGGCAGCTCACACATTCTCATAGTCATGAGAGTCCTCACTTGACGTCTCTTCTGCACGTTTCCACGGCCCGTTCTCACTGTGGGCAGATGACTGACAGGCCACATAATCCTTTAAAGCCAGGAAGCTCCCTGACTGCATGGCAGGTGGGATGTGGGTCTCTGGACCATCTGTCCTGCCCTCTACATGGTCTGTGTTTGAGGATGTCACTTCCTCCTCCTGCTGCTTGTTGCTACTGGGACCTGGTGGTACATTTTCATAATCCCTGCGGCACTGAAACATTCCCCGGAGCTGCTTCCCTTGGGGGGTCCCGAGATCCAACTCTGCCACGTTGACATAGTCATTTGAGGTCTGAGAAGACCCTTCCCCATCGCTGAGTGGATCACTGTTCTCAGTTCCTGGAGACCCCAAACTGGTGCAGTCACTGGCATTCCCACAACCCTCATCTATTTCTTCAGACAGTGCCAGCTCCTTGGTACTTGGGAGGATGAAGAGGTTCCCAGGAGGGTTACTGGTAGAAGCCAAAGTCTCAGCAATCTCCTTTGCTGTGGGGATATTGACATAATCTCTTGACTCCTCTGAAGAAGTGCTCGGATAACCTCTTGAAGCTCTGACATTGACATAGTGAGCTGAGGGAGCAACGTTTCCACACAGCTGGGGCCGCATGGCATTGTCATAGATGCCCACTGCATACCCCATGGCGTGAGTATGGGCTCCGTGCATGTGGAAGGCATCGCCTGCTTGGGAGGGCTGTAAGGAAGAAGAGAAAGCGCGTGACAGGGTAGGAGTAGAGATAAGGACAAACCCTTTCTTCTTCCCCACCCAGTACTATTATACCTAATGGTTCCTTCACTCAGAGAAAAGCTCTGAATCAGGGGTCTCAAATCACAAGGCTTCTGACGCTAGGCTGGGATGAGTGAAGTAGGCTGGGTTTAAGAAAAGCAGCAGTGTAAATGTGACAATAAATTGTAACTGTTTTTTGGCCACACTGTGGGGGTTCAGTGGGGGAAGTATTATGAACTAGAGAGAGCTTGCCACCCCAGAACATATTGCTAGGCCCAGCATAGTGGCTAAAGGTAGAGGCTTAGGTTCAGACTGAGGGTGCAAGTCCTAACCTTACCACTCTGTGCTGAGTTTACACAAATTACCTAATCTCACTGTGCCTTAGCTTCCTAACTTATAAAATGGGGATAATCATAATAATATCAATACTACGAGGTTTTTGTGAAGAAAAAAATGAATTATTGCCTGTAAATTGTTTAGCTCCTGGCACAAAGGAAACACTACGAAATGCTTGCTGTTGTTAGCATGGGCGCAGCTGACACACAGATCAGCTATGGTCATTGAGGAATGCTGGTCTGATTTCCAGAACGTCTTATTTTCAAAAAAGGCTGGATATCTGGACTTCAGTGTGAAATCTCTTAGGTTTTTAAATGTTGGCAACTGGTTCAAACCTTCAAACAGTATAGAGTACAATCCAAACATGTTTGTAGGTTTAAGTCAGCTTGAGATCTAAACTCTAGGTGCAAAATCCCCGCAGGGCTCAGCTGAATCCGAGAACTAGCTTAAGCAGTGGATTTCCTCCACTCTTCCTTTTATAGCCACGTGGACTTGCTGCCCTAGGAAGTCTTAGAAGCGGGACCAGAGCCTAAGAATGGGACATGCGAGACGAGAAGGAAGCAAATGTGGCGACTTGGAGGCGGCCACGTGGTCATCAAACCTGTGCCCCTGGGTAAGGAAAGGCTGGGTAACGAGCCAATCAGCAGCCCTGGGTAAAGAAAGGCTGCCGGGTAACGAGCCAATCAGCAGCAGCGGCACCATGGCCTACTCACCCAGGGACGCCGTAAAACCGAAGAAACAAATTCTTTGAACAAGGTAATGAGGACTTATCTATGGAAACGAGCGCCCTGATCTTCATAGCAGTCCCTCTGCCCCACACTACTGTGCGTCTCCTCCTTTGGAGCTGCCTTCGGAGCCAGACGCAAAGGTATCCCCAACATGCTCAACACTTTTTACACCAGTCGCAGTGCTGAGTGACTTATGAGTATTTCGGCTCTGGAGGAAGATTGAAACAATTTGACATAGGCTTGGAAGTAATTCCCAAAACAGAACCTTAAGGGTGCTTTGAGCACCAACAGCCCTGTTGGAAAATTTATGTACCCTCCCAAGATAATTACGGTACAGGAGACAACACTTATTTAGGAAAACACATTATCATGTCTTTGTTAAGGCAATACATTTCAGTTCCAACAAGTGTCCTTGAATACATGTGCCTTGGTGCCTTTCTTAAAATCTCAAGCACTTGCTCCCCTCTTTCTAAATTTTTTGCCTTGGGTGGTAGGGCAGTTCTGAGGCTAGTCTTCCCATTTATTAATAGGGCCTGGGGTGCCAAAGGACATGCCCTTTATAGTGAAACAAGAAGCAAAACCTAGAACTCTTGCACTTCAGCTCTTCTGCCAGAGACATGTCATTTCTCCCAAAGGGACTGTCATTTCGCTTGACTCTTACCACATGCTCTGAGGGAGGGCTGTCAGAATTCCTGGAGAGGAGGCTTTCGGTGCTGACAATACGGATGCTCCTTGAGGGATGTCTTCCTGAAAGGACAGAGAGCAAACCCTGAGCTTAGTCAGCCAGTCCTCCAAGTGCTTCAGCCTGTTCAGTCCTCACATTCTGGGTGAAGTGGATCTGTGTGATCTCTGGTATTTGGGGGTCAGCATTCTGTGGGGAGAGGGTCAGGGCTACAAGGATGATGAGCTGGGAGACTTGGAACACTCCTCAGCTAGCTGAGGACAAACGGACACGAGCACAGGAATCGAGGAATCTGGCTGGGAGGAGGCTTCTCGGGTGAGCCCTCCCTGACGTGAGGCTGCTGGCCATGTTCTCCTCCTGTGTGTCTTTCCCAACCTTAGACATACCCAGCTAACTGCATCAAGGAAACCAAAGCTGTAATCTGTGTAGTCAAATTATCATGCTGTACTCTATAAACTCATACAGTGACATATGTCAATCATTTCTCAATGAAGTTGGAGAAAACCCCAAACCAGATCCTTGACCCCCATGACTCCCTGCTCCCTCTTCAAGCCCCCCAGACCCCACTGGAGGTGAACCTTGCCATCTGTCTGTCCTGCCTTCTCGCCTGCTCCCTGAAGAGCAGGTCGGTAGCATGCTTAGAAGAAGATGCTTTTGTAGGTGAGATGTATATTCTGGAGGCAGAAGTTCTGTAGGCCTGGATTCCATGGATTAGAAAGAAAAACCTACCCGGCTCTTCTTGTCTTCGGGGCAAGAGGTCATAAATATTTTTGGCTCGTTGTCTGGGTCGAGGCAGAGTCAACAAGGGCATGATGGTAACTCGGAGGTAGGGAACTTGCCCTGCAAGACAATGAGAGACACAGAGGTCGTGGCTGGGCTTAGTTGCACAGAATGTGGGGACCCCTGGGGAAGAGACGGCGCCTGAAAATATTCCCCACCCTCACCATACATTAGGAAAAATGTGTTTCCAGACTTGACCAATGCCTTTGAGCTAGAAGAACAGGGGACTCAGGAGACAGAAGCAGGAAGAAGAAATGGGTACAGGGTACCAGGGCATGGCTTTCAGAGTGAGGCTCCACTCAGCACGGAGCCTTTTAGAGCCACGGCTTGTGATCCTGATGGAGACAAGGACCTGTGTGTTAGGTGAGGACAGAGGACTCCTCGGTGCAGCGGTTTATCTCTGGAGGGCAATGTATGTGTCTGTGCTCAGTCATGTCTGACTCCATGTGACCCCATGGACTGTTGCCTGCCAGGCCCCTGTCCATGGGATTTTTCCAGACAAGAATACTGGAGTGGGTTGCCATTTCCTCCTCTAGGGTATCTTCCCAACCCAGGGATCGAATCTACGTCTCCTGCATCTCCTGCATTGGCAGGCAGATTCTTTATCACTGTGCCATCTGAGAACTGGGCTTTAAATTCCTACTAGACAATTGATCATAGTGTGTCTCAACTTTGGACAAACAAGGGACTCACGCTTCTTCCGTTTACTGCAGTTCCACAGGACGCAGAAAACTGCAACAACCAGGAGGATGGCAAGGAGAGCCGCAAACCCAGAAAAGATGCTGCTGCTGTGGTCTTCAGCTCTGTGAGGAAAACCAAGGGCCATGATCCAGCCATGGAGCGGGGAGGGGGGAAGACGCTTCCTCCAAGAGGTAGGACTCAAGGATTTGAGGTGGGAGCCGAGTGAAGGAACTCTGAGCGGGATGGGCTGGGTGGTGGAAGAGAGGGTTATCTCCTTATGGAGAGAGGGAAGGAGGATGTGGGAGAAGAGAGCTATCCCTTCTGAATGTTCACTGGATGCCAGTGGTTTGCATTAAAGCTTATTTAATCTGTGCAACAATCCCATCTCTCTTTGTGACCAAGGAATCTGAGATTTAGACTCAGTAAGGTAGAGTAACATATGGAAGATCACATAGGTAGGAAGGAGCATGATGGAATGTGAATCTAGGTCTGATTGGCCCCAAAGACTATTCTTTCTATGGTTTCACACTGTCTCCCAAACTTGTCAAGTCCATTTGCTCCTGCTTAACCTGTTCCCTGCCCCTCAGCTTTCTGTCTTGCTTGGAAGAGATTATCCAGTTGCAATTACGGAGCAGCTCTGGGACGAGAGTCCAGGTTGCTTGCATTTTAATAATCTCGGTGGCATCAACTCGTGGAGCTGGTCTTCAAGCAACACTCTGCTATTCTGTGGAATGTGACCAATGCAAATGCACTGAGTAAGTTCCAGGCTACTTGTAATTCCTGGACAGGGCCAGAGCGACTGCTCTGCTTTGGCTATAGGAAGCAGCCAGTTGAGGTTACACAATGCATCATTAGTGAAACTGCCCCTCCAAATACTAGAATCCAGGTCATCCATTAGGGAAGGTTTTTGTCCTTATGAGTTCTAGACTTGTTCACCCCATTTCATACTGGACCTTCCCATGTGGTAACTTAATAGACATCTCAAACCAAAAATGTTTAAAACAGAACTCCTGTTCTCCCCCCACCCCCCATAAACCTGTTCCTCTGGTGTTTCTCGTCATCTAATCGCTCGGCCAAAAACCTTGGAGTCATCTGTGAATGTTTTCTTTTTCACACCCTGCTGCTAGTTAACCAGCAGTTGCTATCTGCTCAACCTGCACATCTACCCCAAAGCATCACCTCTTGCTCCTGCATTGCCACTACCTTGGTCTGAGCCACTGTGAGTTCCACACGGACCTTTGCAAGAACCTCTCTAATGATCTCCTTGCTTTCACTCTTGGCCCCAACATACTATCTTCACACAGGGGCCAGAGCGATCCTCTAAACAGTTAAATCAGATCACATGCTGCCTCTGCTTGCAACCCTCCATGAGTTCTCATCACACTTGGGATAGCATCCATAGTCCCTAACCGGCGAGAATGTCACAGCCTCTTCTCTTCTGCCTTTGCCTGCCTCTGACCTCCTTTCCTACTGTTTTCCCTCTGACCTTGGTGACCAGGACTCCATGCTGTTTCCAACAAAGCACAGTCTTGTCTCAGTCCCGCTGCTCCCTCTCCCTCAGTTCAGTTCCCTCATTTCATTTAGGGCTCTTCTGAAACGTCACGTGCTCAGATAGGTCCTCCCCGGTCACACCCTCCTCAGTGCTCTTGGGCAGCCTCCTCACTTAGCACTTAGCACTAAGCACTTAGCACTTAGCACCCCGTAGCACTTAGGACTGACTGATGTTACACTAGCCATGCTTTTGTTCACCTGTCTGTATCTGACTCTTCCACTTAACTGTAACCTCCAGGAGGTGGTCCTTGCCTGTCCTGTTCACCTTGTGCCTGCAACAGTGCCTGGTGGATATGTTAAATTAATGAATGAATGAATTAACAAATGAATGGATATAGAAATAGTATTGGAGGAGTGCTGCAGGATTTTGATACTTTATGAATTCATTCCCCATCAATGACCTTATCCACTAGCAGGGGACATGTATTTGTTTGTCATGGTAATGACATTTACCTCCCCAAACTACAGTGATTTTAAATTTATTGCTGTTGAGCTGTGCTTTTATCATCGCACTGAAATCAATACCTCTCAGTGTCAAAGTTTCAACTATTGATGGACTTTTTGTTAATATAATATGGAAGGTTTTAGCTGTGAGATTTATATCTATGATTAATTCTTAAAGCTTATTTAATCTGTGCAACAATCCCATCTCTCTTTGTGACCAAGGAATCTGAGATTTAGACTCAGTAAGGTAGAGTAACATATGGAAGATCACATAGGTAGGAAGGAGCATGATGGAATGTGAATCTAGGTCTGATTGGCCCCAAAGACTATTCTTTCTGTGGTTTCACACTGTCTCCCAAACTTGTCAAGTCCATTTGCTCCTGCTTAACCTGTTCCCTGCCCCTCAGCTTTCTGTCTTGCTTGGAAGAGATTATCCAGTTGCAATTACGGAGCAGCTCTGGGATGAGAGTCCAGGTTGCTTGCATTTTAATAATCTCGGTGGCATCAACTCGTGGAGCTGGTCTTCAAGCAACACTCTGCTATTCTGTGGAATGTGACCAATGCAAATGCACTGAGTAAGTTCCAGGCTACTTGTAATTCCTGGACAGGGCCAGAGCGACTGCTCTGCTTTGGCTATAGGAAGCAGCCAGTTGAGGTTACACAATGCATCATTAGTGAAACTGCCCCTCCAAATACTAGAATCCAGGTCATCCATTAGGGAAGGTTTTTGTCCTTATGAGTTCTAGACTTGTTCACCCCATTTCATACTGGACCTTCCCATGTGGTAACTTAATAGACATCTCAAACCAAAAATGTTTAAAACAGAACTCCTGTTCTCCCCCCACCCCCCATAAACCTGTTCCTCTGGTGTTTCTCGTCATCTAATCGCTCGGCCAAAAACCTTGGAGTCATCTGTGAATGTTTTCTTTTTCACACCCTGCTGCTAGTTAACCAGCAGTTGCTATCTGCTCAACCTGCACATCTACCCCAAAGCATCACCTCTTGCTCCTGCATTGCCACTACCTTGGTCTGAGCCACTGTGAGTTCCACACGGACCTTTGCAAGAACCTCTCTAATGATCTCCTTGCTTTCACTCTTGGCCCCAACATACTATCTTCACACAGGGGCCAGAGCGATCCTCTAAACAGTTAAATCAGATCACATGCTGCCTCTGCTTGCAACCCTCCATGAGTTCTCATCACACTTGGGATAGCATCCATAGTCCCTAACCGGCGAGAATGTCACAGCCTCTTCTCTTCTGCCTTTGCCTGCCTCTGACCTCCTTTCCTACTGTTTTCCCTCTGACCTTGGTGACCAGGACTCCATGCTGTTTCCAACAAAGCACAGTCTTGTCTCAGTCCCGCTGCTCCCTCTCCCTCAGTTCAGTTCCCTCATTTCATTTAGGGCTCTTCTGAAACGTCACGTGCTCAGATAGGTCCTCCCCGGTCACACCCTCCTCAGTGCTCTTGGGCAGCCTCCTCACTTAGCACTTAGCACTAAGCACTTAGCACTTAGCACCCCGTAGCACTTAGGACTGACTGATGTTACACTAGCCATGCTTTTGTTCACCTGTCTGTATCTGACTCTTCCACTTAACTGTAACCTCCAGGAGGTGGTCCTTGCCTGTCCTGTTCACCTTGTGCCTGCAACAGTGCCTGGTGGATATGTTAAATTAATGAATGAATGAATTAACAAATGAATGGATATAGAAATAGTATTGGAGGAGTGCTGCAGGATTTTGATACTTTATGAATTCATTCCCCATCAATGACCTTATCCACTAGCAGGGGACATGTATTTGTTTGTCATGGTAATGACATTTACCTCCCCAAACTACAGTGATTTTAAATTTATTGCTGTTGAGCTGTGCTTTTATCATCGCACTGAAATCAATACCTCTCAGTGTCAAAGTTTCAACTATTGATGGACTTTTTGTTAATATAATATGGAAGGTTTTAGCTGTGAGATTTATATCTATGATTAATTCTGTGAGATTTTATGATCTAAGGACGTATCTTCATCGTCTCTATGATTCCATTTTTATTCACGGCAAGTGTTTAGGACCTAAAGCACACCTGTGCAAAGTGTGGGCCGTTTGTCTCCATCGGAGCAGAAACTGGTTTTTGTTTCTGTTTCTCTGAGGAGTGATCGGTGGGATTTGAAAAAGGAAAGCTCAAGGACCGCCATGAGGGCCTCTGAGCATGAGAAACCTAACCATGCCAGGAAGCCAGCTCTAAGGAAGTGGTGTGTTATCATATTTCCTCTCTTCCCAACAACTCCTTTCTCTTCTCAATACCTATTCCTTTCCTCCCGGCAGTTCTGAGCAAACCTCTCTGAGCCCAGAGTTTAGTGGTCTTAGGAGACGAGAGCCTGGTGAGGGGTGGCAAGGCTGCTGGGGTAGAAGCCTCCCAGGATAGACCAGGACCCTCTTTCTAAATCAGGGGAAGGGGAGCGCTCACCGCCCCTGCACTCACTTGTCCAGGCTGCCGAGGGTTCCCTGTAGAGTGCTGGGCCCTGAGGTCCTCCCTGTGGTCTCCGAGTGCGCTGACGTGGTGACATCCATTATTCCGCGACCCTCTTGGGCTTCAGCTTCTCCTCCTAGGCCTTCTCTTAATTGTCATCAGCTTGCCAACCGGTCTGCCACTTTTCCTGTCTCTTCCTAAACTGCAGACTTTCAAGAGAAAAGGCAGAATTGGTTTGTGTTTTGCATATAATCCCGTGTAGTATAAGCATTCTTTTTTAGTAGATAAGAATGACAGAAATCCTCCTGGTCTCCATTTTCTGAACATTCCCTAACATACAGCATTTTATTCTCAAATTTTCATCTTCTTAAATTTTTATTTATCAAAATCCATAACAAAAAGTCTATTGGTTTTTATTTCTTCCTTTCTAAAGCTTCCATTCTGTCTTTCTAGAACTTTCTCTCCCCCAACCAACTCTACCTTGTGTCTGTCCCTGAAATGTCAGGCTGACTTGACCCAAAATACAAAACAACAAGCTTTGCTCTACCTGGATGTGGCTGCGATGCTGACTGCGGGAGGGGAGAGCTCTTCTGGGTGCGGAGCTCCTCAGCTCGGCTCAGGGGGACGCCAGACGCTCTGCCTTGTGGCGGGGACGTGCGGGATGCCGAGGGGGAGACGGCCAAGAGGGCAGAGACAGGCTCCTTGAGAAGCTCATCTTCCCCCAACCCCCAAAGCAGAGAGAAGAGAGCAAACACTTTGCCAGAATGGAAACAGATAGTCAGCTACAGGAAGCAATACCACCAACGTGCTAATGAAGCCTGGGGCCCAGGAAATGCCGCTCAGCTCTCAATATGATAGAAGCAAGGGCGCCTGCACCCTGTTCCCTGGGCTGGCTGGTGTGCTGTGGTCTGTGGGGAGCATGATTCAAGAGGGGTCAAGGTCATGGGGATTTGTGATTGCTCGCCCTGTGTTTCTGTGATACTGAGAGTTTTATCAGCCTCCAGATTGACATTGTTTGTTCCAGCAGGTCTGAGGAGCACTGGAAGGTGCTTTTTAGAAACAAACAGAGGTTTCTGGTGCTTGCGGCTGATTCGTGGATGAAGGGTGATCCATTGCTGTAGCACTTGTGCTGGGATTGGAAGCAAGAGGACTTCCCAGACCTGGTGCCAAGAGCAGATGGCGTGGGAACGGGGAATCTGGAAGACGGCAGGTGGGAGAGCAGACAGAACCAAACCTCAGAACCCTGACAGCTACTTAAAAAATTTTTTCAAGAACTTCCCCATGCCTGCTACCATCTTGAGGTCTTATCTCATGTGATCTTATCATCTACACAGCTTGTTGCATCAGCCAGCTGAGTCTTCCATCCTCTCTTATTTTCTCCTGCCTCCATGCTTGAGGGAAAATGCCTCCTCACATGAGGCTCCCAGGCCTCAGACTGAGCTCTGTTTCCGGCCCTGGCTGCACCCCTTCCCTCCCCATGGTAGACCAATTAAACCAACCACTTAAAACACAAAACAGATAACTGAAGTTATTCGTCATGATAGTAGAAGAAAACTATTCACTCCTGGTGACAGGATATGTGTTTCAAAACTGATTGCTCTAATGTTATCTTTAACCACTTTATCAGTGCAAAGAAATAGAGGAAAACAACAGAATGGGAAAGACTAGAGATCTCTTCAAGAAAATTAGAGATACCAAGGGAACATTCATGCAAAGATGATAACAATAAAGTAGAAATGGTATGGACCTAACAGAAGCAGAAGATATTAAGAAAAGGTGGCAAGAATACACAGAACTATACAAAAAAACAGCTTAATGACCCAGATAACCATGATGGTGTGATCATTTACCTGGAGCCAGACATCCTGGAATGTGAAGTCATCACTATGAACAAAGTACTGGAGGTGATGGTATTCCAGTTGAGCTATTTCAAATCCTAAAAGAGAATGCTATGAAAGTACTATACTCAGTATGCCAGCAAATTTGGAAAACTCAGCAGTGGCCACGGGACTGGAAAAGGTCAGTTTTCATTCCAATCCCAAAGAAAGGCAATCTCAAAGAATGCTTCAACTACCACACAATTGCACTCATCTCACACGCTAGTAAGGTAATGCTCAAAATTCTCCAAGCCAGGCTTCAGCAATACGTGAACCATGAACTTCCAGATATTCAAGTTGGTTTTAGAAAAGGCAGAGGAACCAGAGATCAAATTGCCAA